GACTTATGGGCCTTAACTAGAGTCTAGTTTGATCAGTTTCCCTGGTTTAGGGATTCCTACACTTCTTTCCATGCGTACGGGAAGGAGCAGCTGTAGAGAAGAGCATTGGAAATACCTACTAGGAGGTAGACGTGGCGCTGAGAGGGATTTCAGCACCCTGTTGCTAATGCCGTCAGGGCCGGGTTCTGATTTCTTTTTGAGGTTTATGGTTTTTGTGACATCGTCAACAGTCACAGGATCTAAGAGAGAGCCTGCTGTTGGTAGCGCAGACCTACGCTCGACCTCCGCTTCGACCTCTGCAAAGTAATCGGGATCTACGGGTTCGCTAAAAGGAGTGCATTGGCTCACTAAACTGTCCCCGAGGCATTTGGGCTTTTCCGAGTCGTCAAAGGTGAGATTGGGGTTTCCTTGTCTAATAATAGGTGGCATGGGTGAGGATTGTTCTGCTTTTAGATCTCGGGTCAACCGTCAGAAGGCAGTTTGGGATGACTCGATATCCTCCAGCAGATTATAGCACTTATTCTGTCTGAATTTCGCAATACGCTGTTATACCTCGTATTTAAAGGTAGCGCAGTCTAAATTTATTATCTATTGTGCGGTAGTGATCGTATGTTTTAAGGGCCGCGTTCTTCGCTCTGACCGGTTGTCAAATATCTCCCGGAAGCTTCAGGTGTCGATTGCTCGATACGCAAATTTTTCCAGAGCATTCTTCAACCGCTGAGGTGAGGTGGGCCGATAGGGCGTTAATCACCTTATTGGCATCCTCTTGCGAGTCTATTTTGTCGGGAATCGTGTCTAAGTGCTGGGAAATCGTAGATTCGTGTTTGACTTCGAGCTTACGCTACACCACGATGGTTTTGGTCTGTTTTTATATAATTGGTCTGATATATTCTAATGCTGGCTCTAACTAAGTAGACGCTTAAGTTACACCTCTGCAGAAAATAATAGTTTAAGAGAATATTATTACAAAGTTAGTGGTGAAAGTTATATTAGTAAGTGATTCACGCCTAAACAATAAACACCTTTTAAGTAGCATAAACATTGTAGGTTAATATAACTATACGAACAAATTAAAGAAAAATTGCCGATTAACACTAGTGTTCACAGAAATCATTGAGGGTAAATTACTACAGTGAGTGTCTGTGTATTATTGTTAAGATACAAAAAGATTTTTGATTAAATTGACTGTACATAAAACTATCGGTTTGAACGTTGCGCATCACCGCGATTCCGTTATTTACTCTATAGACACAAGTTCAAATATTCAATTATTATCATATATTAAGATTTATTTTATTTTCGCATTTTTTATTTTTCTTTCTTAAATTGTTCATTTATCATTTAAGCGGTGCATCTTTAAAAAAATCAATTCTCAATGGTACATAAAAATTGAAATATTTTATTACATCACGTTCTAAACCTACAACGTCTACAAGTTTTTAAAGTACTAATAAATTATTCTTTATAATAATGTCGAGTAAAAATAAGGAGTGGGGATATCACGGAGAGTCTAATACGAGTAAAGAGGATAATGATTACATTCTACGTAATGCATGCCGCGAGATATTTCACTTGAGTTGTTTGACCCCCAAAGTCATCAAGTGTTAACCCTCAAAATCGGATTGAGTCAATTAAAATACTAATCTAAATTAGGATTAAATACTAATCTAAAAAATTTCCTCCAATTATTCAGTACTAAATAAAGAACCATTATGTATAAAATTAAGGATATTAACGATTCAATGAACTTTATGAACAGCATATTTGAGGAAGCCCTTAAAGAACAAGCCTAAGTAAAAAAAAAACTCTGTCTGATCTACAGGTAGAAAACTTAACTCTTAACAATACATTACAAGACATATGCACATGACTTAACATGTTGAAAAAAATGCACGCTCAAACAATGAAGAAATCCAAAGCATCCCAGAACAGAAAAATGCCGCCAGATACGCTGCAAAATAAAAGGGATATAAATACGTTTTGATAAGAAATAGAAGGAAAAGGGACAAGGTGAACTACATAATTATAAAGGATATGGATTATTTGTCTTTGGTATTGATATTTTTTAAAATCGCGTCAGGACACGGGACCTGATCGAAAATGCGTAAGACGGCGTAGGAGAGGAAGTATCCCCCTCTCTTTCTACCGCGCGGCAAAAATGTATGCCTGCGCCTGCTGTTTCGTTTAGGCGGCGCAGGGCGCTTGTGCGAATGTATATATAGATATATATATATATATATAAACACTCACGCCTGTCACCCTGTCCAAAATATCAAAAATGCACAACGTTAATATTCAAGTTTTCACTTCTGCCGGCACTCCGGTTTTTTACCTAGTAATTATGATATTGTTTTCACAGAGGCTTAGTAAAAACATCCTCAGTTCTGAAATATTTGACAACTGAAACGACAGTAGAGATAGAGAGGATTTTATATTTTATTCGCATAAAGATCTTAACAGGAAGGAGGTCTTAATTGCCATCAACAAAACCATTCACTCCAAAAGGCTCCATCACTATGATAGCAAATGCGAAGACTTGTGGGTAGTAGTAGACACATTCTCATCTACCTCCCTGAGCCAGATTGTTTTTTTGTGCCGTGTATCTCCCACCACCAATTCATAGCTCGTTACTCAATCATTTTATCGTTAATTTCAACAAAATAAAAGAGCACCTTTACGACCACTTTTTTCATTATTTTTAGAATAAGTCGATCGTGATAAAATTTGCAATACATGGTTGCCTTAGAAGGGCCTTTATCTACAAATGTCATTTATAGTAGCAATAATTGAAATTGTTAAAAATGTCGCAGAAAATTGTTCCCGACGCAGATCTGTTAATATTAGAACATTTGTAATTTTTACCTGATAACAATCGTATTTTAAAAATCTATTATTTTATATATAATAAAAATATTTGATTATAGATTTTTCCTCATACAAAAAACTTTTTTCGCAATCTTTTTACTTTTGTCTAACGTTGTATGACTATGTTAGCTTGTATGATGTTATGTGACTTTATGGCATGTCATATTTGCACTTATTTTCAGAAATGGGTCAAAAAAGGGTAACGTTATAAGATGTGTTCGGTCCCCCTGACCCCTGTAAAAATGCTGACTTACTACAGGCTCGGCGTAAAGAATTATTTCAAGGACACATGAAGTATGGTGTTGGAAGTAGTGGTGCCGGGAGTAGTGGTGTTGGGATTAATTGGTGCTGGGACTAGTGGTGACGAGTTAGTGCATGCAATTCAGGGAGGGCGGGAGGTGCTCTTCAATCCAGGTAAGACACATCATTGCATTTAGTTAGCGGAAGGTTGCAAAGTAATTAATATTTTTATTATAATAAATTTCCGCAAAATAACGCCTGATTCATCATTTCATTATCATATGAAGTCCATCAACACGCACTGTAGTAGTGTGGTGAACCAATCACGAGCGTTAACGTTCTCACTGTCGAATGCAAGTCAATGTTCGATGGTTGATATCGAAATTTTAATAAACTCGAACTCATTATTTGTGTTTCCGATTAATGACTTTATTTGGCACTCTTTTTATTTCATACTATTTATAGTTAACGGTACAAGGATCGAACACGTAAAAAATCGCTATACGCGCGCTTTTATTGTGTTAAACGTTTTTACAGGTTTAAAATCAGGGAAGTAAAAGTAAACTGCAATCTCAAAACTCTATGAATTAAAAATAAACCCAATTAAAAGAAATGTTTCGTGCCTGTGTCAGCCCAACTGAGTTAGAGTAATATATATTAAATAAAAAATTCCTTGTTCTTTTCAGTTATTTATGCGACTTTTATATATTTTGCAAGGGGCAAATGATTTTCCTTCATTTAATTTAGGATAAATTCAATCAAATAAATACATAGATTCTTAATTGGATGAAATATAAAAAAATATATCTGCAGTCTTAGTTTTATTAGGTATCTAATATTCCTTACGCAGCAATATATATGCATACAATTAAAAAGCAATTATTCAATGTATAATGTTCGCGTAAACACGAGAAATTATTATGTACAACATAAGATCTCAAAAATAACATAATTTTTTAAGAATAAATTTAATTAATAAATTTAATTTTTAATACATTCTTATAAAATGACTAAATTTTCATAGATATAAAACTTGACATAAATATTAATAATTATTTTATATTCTAGCTTGAGATTTTACAGTTGCACTTAACGTTGACATTTAAATACAAAATGATCAGATATTCACTTAACTACTTTTGACTGAAATTTATATGAATGATAATTTATTGAAATTAAGTAATTACATAATAATGTCATTCAGACAAAATTTCGGTTGCGGCAGCCAGCCTCAACGGAGGACTAGCCGACGAATGTATGTGTAAACACAGATGCATCATCTATTCTCTTACTCTCATAGTCCGAGGAACGGTAACTCGATACGACTGGAGAGAGTTCAGTTGCAATATCAATTGTTTTAAGTATTTTCCAAGATACTGTGGTGAAACACCACCAAACAGCCAGAGTCAAGAAACTCTGGCCTGCTACTGAGAATTTTTCGGCAGAGAAATCTCGTCCTTTTTGTTAACTCAATTTTGAATAATCCAACTTCTACGACATATCTCAAGGATAAATTTCAGAATCTCTTTTCAACTCAGGATATGGTTCCTCGCTCCTCATTTAATTATAAGATTAGTATTCCATCTGATTTCATTGGATTCACCAATAATAAGGGCATCTTTTTTTGCCAACAAGGCGGCACCACTTAACCCTTAAATGCATGATTATTTATTTATTTATTTTATTAGTAATTTCCTTATTGTTTATGAATGAAATACAGCAAAGCAATTGCGATTTTTGTTATGACATAAAGCAACCTTGCATTTGACGCACTCAGTCCGTGAAAATCCTTTACAACCTGGAAGTTTGCATCTATTTTTAGCGCTGCACCTTTTTTCATCATGGCCTATACCATCAGACCGGATATCTTTTGGCGGGACAGGTTTAGCGGGACCTCAGTGTTTTTTAGCTTCGATCACCCTTTCTACATTATTGCTTGAGGGTCTTCCTCTTTTATTTGTATCGTACTTTTTATAGGAGCATAAAGTCTCTGCAAGTTCAGATCTGTAATCTTCTAAGGTAAGATTTGGGTATTTTTTCTTATACAGTATCCAATAATTGATCACTGCCATATCAACCATGTGATAAAATAATCTGATATACCACTTGCGACTTTTTATTCTGATTTTATACCTACCCAAAAAACTATCCATGAGGTCAACTCCTCCCATATGGACGTTATAATCTTTGACTATTTTTGGACAAGCTATGGAAATTTGTTTCTTTTGTTTCTTGTCGTATCTATTCACAGTTTCGGCTGGTTCGGAGCCTACATAAGTTGACGCTAATGTGACAACCTTATTATCTTTCCAGCATGTTACCGAGATATCAAGGCCTTCGTAATCAGCTACTTGTTCCTCATATGTTCCTCGTACTATAGAATCTTTCATAAAATCTTTTACACCTGGCAATTTGCAATTTTTTCCGAGGCGGTTACGTTGAATAGTACCAAATACATATATTCCTTGAGTCCATAGGTAATACAGTAAAGGAACGGATGTATAGAAATTGTCGAAATATAAGATATGGTTCATTTTTCGTGGAATTGAACGGCACAATCTAATCACTGTATTACCGACTACACCAATATCAGGTTCATCAGATAAGTTGTCAACATTTTGTTTACCAGAATATATTTCAAAACTATAAGCATATCCAGAGAGTGAACACAAAACAAACAACTTAAAACCCCATTTATGGGGTTTGTTGGGTAAATATTGCTTCATAAAATGAGCTACCTTAGTCGAACACATTTGCTCATCTAGAGAGAGCCTTTGGTTAAATGGTGCCACACTCACGAACAATTTGTTCAAGTGTACTACAACAGGTCTTATTTTATGAACACGATCATGGTTTGGGTGTCCAATCGGTTTGTGCTGTGCATTATCATTGAAATGTATTACTGATCTTATTTTCTCAAATATTTACCGTCATGGTCTGTTGTATATGATCGAAGCCATATTTACCCCAGTAGGATCTAACATTTGGGTAATGGTACACGGAAATAAATATGATGATACCTAGAAATTGACGGATTTCAGTAGCAGTTACAGGAGGACAGTTGGATACATTTTTTTTGCGTGATGTATAAATTTGTTTGTTCCACAATAACAGTGAGTACATCCTCATTCATAAATTCGCAGAAAAATTGGAATGGTGTTTCAAGCGTGGCTAGTGGAGGGGAAAAGTCTGTATTTCCTGTGAAACGTATACGTTCTTCACTGTAATATAAGTTCTCTACTTTGTTGCCTCCACGCTGCAACACCAAGAAGGCTTGAATGTGGTTGACAATTCGAAGGTCCTGGAGCTGGACTGTTGAAGTGATCCAACCATCCTTCTTCCATGTTTGAAGGTGGATTTTCATTGTATTCTTCATCATCATCATTATTGTCCTCTAATTCGCTTATTAGATCTTGTAGGTCCGGGTGATAATCAATTTCGTTCATATCACCCATATCCTTCGTCTTCAGAAATGTTTCCATTTTCTATTTGTGCAAGTAAATCCTCAATATCGTCATCTTTTAGCCGTCTAGACATCCTATAAAGCAAAGCAAACTATGTTAAAGGACCCAGACACCAAAAACACTCGCTTATAATTATTTATGAAACAAACGCATAATGTAGACATTTGGCAACATACAGTAATTTCCAAAAATCTGTCTTGTATCTAATATAACTTTCAAAAACAACATCAAACATTGATAGCTTACCTGATAACAAATTAGAAGTATTTTTTTTAGAATACGAAGAATCACTTTTTATTAGGAACTCGACAGTAGAAACTATGTTTTCTAGTAACACACTGAACTTCATCACCCACCACATTCAAATGTCAAAAAACGAGTAACTTACCCGCCAAATGTAATGTGAACTTTTTTTTCAATAATGATTTATGGCTATGGTTATTTACGAGCGTTCGGAAATGCAGGGACTCGAGGTTTTTGAATAAAATAACGTGAAAATAAATGTAGACAATTGGCAACAATATGCATTTAAGAGAATGAGGAATGTATTTGACAGTTATTTGATAGCAGTGAAATTAATTCGTACGAAAAATGTGAAGCTTAAAGTTTCTTTATAATATATTATATATTAGTTATATTTTATATTGAATAGATTAAAAACAAATAAACTAAACCACAGATATTCATAAAACTAGAAAATTTAAAAATGTGTAATCAATTACACATTTTTAACACAATACTCTGGAAACTGATAAACTTTTATATAATACTTCTTAATTAAATGACATAGAGAAACAAAATCTTCACCTCAGTGTTAACTAACTACATCGAGCGGAGGATTATAAGGCTCTTATTCTAGAACTCCTTGCCTGAAAAGTTTTCTGGCAGAAGGGCGTCAAGTAAGGGTTATTTTAAAAAGTTGGTACATGACTTCATTTTTGAACGCGGCAGCAATACGCTGTTATAGTACGCTGGTATTCTTTGAATGAATCGATGATTGCGCAGTATAGTGCCGGTTATAATTAATCGGTCGTCATATCTACTTCAAATTCCTTGGCTGCAAACAATTTCCGCGCTTTAACATAGAATTGCGGAAAATATTAAACCAAGAGTGCCTAAGAGTCCATCTGGGTGGGGTTCATCATCTTAAATATTTCTGCTACAAAAAAAAAACAATGCGTGCAAGAATATGTCTGGCATAAAGAGTACAGAAAGACAGTATAATTACAGGCTGTGAGGCATTCCATTTTAGTCCTCAGAAGTGGTAACGTATTTAAAACCTTTTAATTTGTAGGTATCCAGAAACTGCATTATCAGGCGGACTTTTAGAATAGATGCACAGATGGGTCACTTGAGTCTACTTTTTTGTTATAGGACTCCTTTTCTGTTTACCAGACCGTCTCAGCTGGTAGTACAATCTTATATATACAGCAGTGAGTGCACTAAAGCACTAAGGCGAACAAAAGGGTAACAAATGAAACATTAAATTTGTTTTATTTTCTATATAATATAAAGTTTTTTGATTTAAAACTAACTGCAGAAGATTAGCAGCAGCTTATTACGTTTATTTAATGTAATAAAATAAATTATTACCCACTATAAGATGATTACAATTTTTTTATATTTAGATAAGATATACAAATGCGGGCCTAACTCTAGTTAGAGTTCTCTTCAAGCAAACCCTTTGTGTTATATGTAAAGCAAATAGGTAGCAGTGTACGTACTTAGTAATAAACAAAATCACTGCTGATTAGAAATTGCCTATAAGTTATATATTTAAAAATTAATATATTTATTTATAAATATAGGTATACTTTTTCTTTTTTCATTAAAAATACATACATATATCGTTTTTACACATATGTATCGCCATTTAATACATATATAATATATAAATGCATCGCTTTTTACATAATTTTAAATTATATGCAGCATTTTTATATGAGGCTATAAGCGCTGCTACGCGTGCGTTTGAGAGTGGGATTGAAAATGGCGTCGCCTGTATTCACCCTTATCTCGCATACTGTCACTATCTATGCTCACACCCGCCGTTAAAATTAAAAAAAAACGTTACGATATGGATTTTTTGAACGTTCTATAACTTCAGTCCAACTAATACACTGACTTCTATATATACAAGTACGCTGGACTGGCTATAAGCCGTGACATAATGAGGCAATACGATTTGCGCCATTTTGGCGCTGACAGCAGAAGTGCATGTCCACGGAACTAATAATAGGGATAAGACAGTGCGACAAAATATATCGATAAAAATTCTATACCCAACCTATACCTAAATAAATAGAATGGACTCTATGGATAGATGGACTCTAACCGTAACGTCCATTCTGTTTATGTATCATATTAATATAATGCCAATAGCATTCATCATCATTAAAGCCCTTCACAAGTCCACTGCTGAACATAGGCAAGGAATGCCACAAAGCACGGTCCTGAGCCACCTGCATCCAACAACCTCCTGTATGTCTTACCAGGTTTTCACTCCATCTAGTGGGAGAATTTCCGACACTTTACCTGCCGGTACGAGGCTGCCACTCGAGAACATTTTTTCCCCATCGGTTATCGGTTCTTCAAGCAATATGGCCGGTCAATTGCCACTTCAGCTTACTAATCCGTTGGGCGATGTCAGTCACTTTGGTTCTATTGCCGATATTCTCATTCCTAAGTTTATCCTCCTAAGAATTCCAGCTTCGGCAGTGCCACGTATTCTGGGGGGCTTGACATATCGTAATCCATTTCTTGATCAAACACTTAATTGCTTTTGTCGGTGGATGTTGCGCAAAGGAATCTGCCAAAAACCGTGAATGTAAACGATGGCCAGAATTTGTAAATAAGAAATAAACTAAAGTAGGGCCGCTACCAAGTTAAAGCACAAATTAAATCTTTAGACTCGAGAAATAATTGAATCTCTAGACTCGCACGGATTCGTCTTCACGCTTCGTCCGAGTCAACAGTGTTTTAACGTCTCCGTTTAAATCTTCTTGAAACCCTAGTAAATGTTTATTTTTAATAATAAAATTTACATCAGTATAAAGATAACAGTTTGAGCTCTCCGTTAGTGACGATTTAAATCTAAATTAAGTGAGTGATTGGTGAATAATAACAAGAAATAGTGCAAAGTTTCAAATATTCTTCGCAACGGCTGAGACGGCCGATTCAAGGACGCCCCGCCCAGTCGGTCGGTCACTGACCTCACTAGCTACGGCGTGCTTTTTCCTACAACAAGCGTTGCTGCATCTTTCTATCTCTGTCAGCCGCTGCTAGCTGTTGCCACTTCGACTGTCTGCATTGTTTGTTTACGCATGAGTCACTAAGCTTTAATTGCTTTATAAGGCTAAATCAGCTGTTTACTTTGTAGATAAAATTAAGTTTTTACAATTAGCAGTATGCCTAAATGCGGAGCTTGCGGTAAATTCCTGTCAAAAGCGGACAGTATTCGTTGTAATTGTTCCGCTGCTTTCCACAAGGCATGTGTAGGAATTCCAGAGACTTCTTCTGTAAAGGGCGCGTGGATTTGTCCCGGTTGTAAAATTAAAAAACCTAGAGAGGACAACACTTCTACTCCTGTGAAGGGACTGGCTGATACATACCAAAGTACTCCTAATAGTACGAATAATTCAGCGGACAATACCACAGAGGAACACTTAGTGCGTTTGAGATAAGAATGAGTGAAATAGAAACCAGGATTTCTGCTCTGGAGAACAAGATTCCCAAATAGCATCCTCGTCAAACACTAGCGCACTCGAGGATACTATCACCCAGCTGAAAGTTCAACTTAATAACAGGGACCAGGAGCTCCTCTCCAATGACGTTGAAATATCCGGCATAACTGAGCTTGGAGGAGAAAACCTTATGTCAACAGTTACAGTTCTACCTACGAAGCTGGGAATAACATTAGACAAAAGAGACATTGTTAACGTGGAACGTGTTGGCTTAGTACGTCGCAATAGGGTGGAGGGGAGTACTTGCGACGACGATCTCAGCTCAATGCGTCCGCGCATTATAGCAGTGCGGTTAGCCCGCCGAGCTACGAGGGACGAGTGGCTGTGCGCAGCTCGCGTGCGCAACCTCTCCACGAAAGACATCGATGTGACTGGCAAGCCGAGTAGCATATCTATATATATATATATATATATATATATATATATATATATATATATATATATATATATATATATATTCATAACGCTGGGTCACTGAGTACCAATCATGACGATTTTATATCACTGTTTTCCATGCACAACATTGATATCATGGCTGTGAATGAGACATGGCCTCGGCGGGGTGAGGAGGGTCGTGCGCCCGCGGTTCCTGGGTACCGGTTACGTCACACGCCGCGCCCGTTAAGTGTACGTGCGGGTCGTGGTGGAGGAGTGGGTTTTTACGTGCGAAGAGGACTAACGTACGTACGTGTGTTTTGACTGTGGATCTTAAACCTGAAAATATTGAACAAATGTGGCTAATATTTAACATCCGAGAGAAAAAGATTGCTATAGGCACAGCCTATCGGCCTCCATGGCAAGACCTGGATCTGTTCCTGGATGCCGTAGCCAGCTCAATAGGTGCCTTGGGGGATAATGACCACTTTATACTTATGGATGACTTTAACGTCAATTTGCTAAATGAATCTGAAGTAAAAACAAAAAAAATTAAACGATTTTCTATCGTGTTTGGGACTAAATCAGCTGGTTACTTCTCCTACTCATTTCACTATCATATCCGAAACATTGATAGATCTAGTTTGCTCCGACTTAAAATCGAAGCGTATGTCTGTATTTACGCCAGGTAATTTATATGGACATGCAATCATTCTTTGTGAATTTCATATCATAAAGGACAAGCCTACGCCTCAATTGGTGCAATATAGACCGCTAGATAATATATGTTTAGATAAGTTTAATTTTGATATATTTAACTTGAACTTCAAAAATTTTTTTCTTGTTCTGTAAATGAAATAGTTGATATCTTTAACCGCAACATCTTATTCGTGTTCGATG